CTAACGAATCCACACGAGGCCTTCTTCTACATCGAGTGTGTCTGCAACGCCTGGTTTACTGTCGAGATTATCACTAGATTCACATCATCACCCAGCAAACTTAATTTTATTAAAGGTACACTATTAGCCGAGTAATGGACACTGAACACTGTACCCGATTCCCATTCCTATGTATAGATATAATGTGTTTTGGAATTTATTTTTATTGTTTTTTTCACTTTTAACAATTAGTTTGCTTTTAATGTTTAATGGATTTCTTTTTTCAAGTAGTCTATTTCACTGTGTTGTGGTTTTAACATATTAATACGATTAGTGTAAATAAATGAAATGTTTTTTGATTTAAGATTTAATTCAACAATAGTTTCATTACATTCAGAATTAGTCCCAATGTTTGTAATTATCTCTCTTTTTGTTTCCTATGTTGTTGTGTCTCTAATCAGATATTTTCCACGTTTTGTTTGACTTTATTTATCTTTGAGTTGATATAAATTGATATCAATTTTTTGAAAGCATACAAAAGTAGAAATAATGTAATGGTTTCTCAATTTTATTCAATCTATTGTTCTTACTTTCCATCAAATTTCCATTTTCTGAGCCATTAGTTTGAATTAAATTTGACACAACTTTGAGAATAATGGCTTTTCTTTGCTTATATTCTTTGCTCTGTTATCTGAAACTTAAGGCTACGCTTAAGAAGATTCCGGCGACCAGACTGTCCCGGCTGACAGAAGCGCTCGCCAACTATGATCCAGTTCTCAATGAATACTTCTTCGATCGACATCCGGGTAAGTGTTGTAAATCACTGACACAACCATTGGCCAGGCAATCACTCATTGCTATATTGTATATGTATTGTGAATATACGTGAAGGCGTTTTCGGGCAAATACTCAACTACTACCGGACCGGAAAGCTTCACTACCCGACCGACGTGTGCGGCCCTCTCTTCGAAGAAGAACTCGAGTTCTGGGGTCTCGACTCTAATCAAGTATTCATATCTTAATAGAGATTCATATGTATTTGCAGTACACTGTGCTGGCTGCTATACTATGTATGCTATATATGCTAACTGTGCTGGCTATGGCATGAATAGGTGGAGCCGTGTTGTTGGATGACATACACCTCACATCGTGACACTCAGGAGACTCTGGCCGTATTGGACAGACTAGACTTGGACACAGAGAAGCCATCGGACGAGGAGATCGCCCGCAAGTTCGGGATGGAAGACGACTACTTGAACGGCACTCTGAGTTGTTGGCAACGACTCAAACCCAAACTCTGGTCCCTATCAGACGAGCCCTACTCATCAAATGCTGCTAAAGTAAACACTAATTTCAATCGATTTTTGTCCACAAATAATTGGATTTAATTCTAGTGCTAACTATTGCTAACTGTGCTAACGGTGCTAACTCTGTGTGCACTCGCCTCTCATGGCACCACCACTTCACACATATATATTATATAATAAAGTACATATTTATATAATATGCTATATTTATCAATATTTTTGCCAATTCTGTCTCTGATTTTGAGTCGAGTATGTATTTCGAGGTGTTATTGTGAATATTGATATAAATATGTATTCAAGTGTTTACTGATTATGAAGTCGTCTTCTCAGATGACTGACGAGAATCTAATATATGTTTCATTATTTTTAGTCAATTCATATTTATTTAGATATAAATTCAAACATTTTCTGCACAGAAAATAGGAGTTTATATGATTTACAAAAGAATAAATGAATTGAAAAATTTTTATCCAATATTCAAAAGATTTAAAGGATTGGCAATAATCTAAAAAAATTGAATTAAATTCCATTCCTTTCACCCGAAAATATATTAAAATTCACTTTTTTTGTCAATTTGATTTCTAAAAATGTTAAATATTTTTTATTCAAATCACATTTCAGTTCGCAATCTTATAGAGAGGTATCAATTGTGTGGAAATGTTTGTCACATAAAGTGTGGGATAATTCATAATTTTATTCAATTCTCATTATATTCTTAATGAGAATATTTTGCAAACAAATCTAAGCAAGTATATCATTTACAGTATTTGTTTGATCACACAAATTGTCTGATCAGTGAAAAAAGTGTCACTTTATTAGCGTTTGACTGAATCGATCGGTAAGTTATAGTCAAAGACATGTAAATGTGTTAACAACACAAACATTAAAATAATAGAAACACAACTCAATTATTGTAGTATATTATAGTGATGTATTGTGGGCACAAATTATAATAAATTTATATGAATGTCGTCACAGATTTCACGCTTATTTGAATCAAAAATATCGATTATATCATAGAATAGACATTACATTACAATGCCATAGGATTTAACACAATATAGTAAACCATAGCATCGATCCCATGAAGTATTTCTTATAGAAAGAGTAGACAAACAATGAATGAGTGGTTAATATTGCATGAAATCAATTACCATTAAAAGACTCAAAATTATACACTAGAAAGCAAGAGATCCATTGCCCCCAGTGTTTTTGTCAATTTGATTTCTAAAAATGTTAAATATTTTTTATTCAAATCACATTTCAGTTCGCAATCTTATAGAGAGGTATCAATTGTGTGGAAATGTTTGTCACATAAAGTGTGGGATAATTCATAATTATATTCTTAATAAGAATATTTTGCAAACAAATCTAAGCAAATACCAAGTACAGTATTTGTTTGATCACACAAATTGTCTGATCAGTGAAAAAAGTGCGACAAACTGTCACTTTATTAGCGTTTGAATGAATCGATCGGTAAGTTATAGTCAAAGACATGTAAATGTGTTAACAACACAAACATTAAAATAATAGAAACACAACTCAATTATTGTTGTATATTATAGTCATGTATTGTGGGCACAAATTATAATAAATTTATAGTAATGTCGTCACAGATTTCACGCTTATTTGAATCAAAAATATCGATTATATCATAGAATAGACATTAGGTTACAATGCCATAGGATTTAACACAATATAGTAAACCATAGCATCGATCCGATGAAGTATTTCTTATAGAAAGAGTAGACAAACAATGAATGAGTGGTTAATATTGCATGAAATCAATTACCATTAAAAGACTCAAAATTATACACTAGAAAGCAAGAGATCCATTGCCCCCAGTGTTTGCTACTTACGATGTGTACAGTATAGCTACAATACTATTCAACTCCTGGCGCTATAAATATGTATTTATATAATTTATATGTGAATTAGTGGTGAAAAATATGCAAACATTTGTTTGTGAATGCTGTTTAAGAGATTAGTATTTATGTAATCATATATAATCTCTTGGGAGCTAATTTTAATTTATTATTTAATTAAAAATTTAATTAATACAAAGATCTTTGTTTGAAATATCTTGCAAAAGTAATTACATAACTCTATGTTCACTGGACTGCGAGTACTGTCCAAAATGTTTGCCAGTTTTTATTAATAATCATATTTACGGATAAAAGCTCTCAATACCACTCGGTTCAGTAAATTTCATAATAGATTGCTAAATACTGAGAAAATACATAACTTAATATTAAAATCAATTTACTGATAAAAGTATTGCTTTGTTAGTAATGGACCCTAAAAGACATATAATGGACAGTATTTCGGCATTTTGGTGATAATATTATTATTATTATAATTGCCATATTTAACACAATTCTACTATTTTAGCAAAAATCAATACAAATCTTTTGTTACGATATTACAATAAATTATTTTTTAGCGATAACTATGTATTGCATTGATACCCGTATGCATTAAACATCGTATTACAGTATATTAAACATTGATTGCTAAAATAAAATGTGTTTCCAAAAAATAATTAATATAATTATAACAATAATTTACAAGTTATTATCGTATATTTGCAGGTGATTGGCGTAATGTCAGTATTTTTCATATGTGTGTCAATTCTGTCATTTTGTCTGAAAACCCACCCGAATATGAGAGTCCCGATGATTAGAAACATAACCGTTTGGACGACAAACCAGACGGAGTCATGGGTTTTGGATAAGACACTAACGAATCCACACGAGGCCTTCTTCTACATCGAGTGTGTCTGCAACGCCTGGTTTACTGTCGAGATTATCACTAGATTCACATCATCACCCAGCAAACTTAATTTTATTAAAGGTACACTATTAGCCGAGTAATGGACACTGAACACTGTACCCGATTCCCATTCCTATGTATAGATATAATGTGTTTTGGAATTTATTTTTATTGTTTTTTTCACTTTTAACAATTAGTTTGCTTTTAATGTTTAATGGATTTCTTTTTTCAAGTAGTCTATTTCACTGTGTTGTGGTTTTAACATATTAATACGATTAGTGTAAATAAATGAAATGTTTTTTGATTTAAGATTTAATTCAACAATAGTTTCATTACATTCAGAATTAGTCCCAATGTTTGTAATTATCTCTCTTTTTGTTTCCTATGTTGTTGTGTCTCTAATCAGATATTTTCCACGTTTTGTTTGACTTTATTTATCTTTGAGTTGATATAAATTGATATCAATTTACAGACCAATGACTAAATTGTTCTCTTATTCTCTCATTTTCTTTCTCTCCCTTTC